CAGAATTAGACCCCCAGGTAGCCTTTCCAGCACTTGGTCCTATTGATAACCATAAGCAGAAAAAAAAAAAAAAGAAAGAACTTCAATCTAAGTCTCACATCTCATACAAAAATTTTTAAAACTTTAAAAAACTAATTTTAAAAATTAACTTAAAAATGGATGGAACTTAAGTATAACATATAAAACTTTAGTGGGGAACAATCTTCAGGATCTGGGGCCAGATAAACTCAATACCAAGTCAGAAAAAAACAGTAATGAATTGGACTTCAAAATTAAAACTTTTGGTCTATGGTTCTATTAGGAGGATAGATAAGATACAAATGGAAGAAAATATTTTCAAACCATACATCTAACACATGACTAGTATACTATATAGACATATAAAGAACTCAAAACTCAATTAAAAACAATACAATTATAAAATGACCTAAAAATATACAGAGGATATACAGGTGCCCCCAAAAAAGCCATCAGGGACATGAATATTAAAAACCCACAACGAGATATCAAAACCTCCAACCAGCTACAACCCATTTGAGCAGCAATTCACACTCTAGTATTACCTTTGTGAGATGTGGGAAGCCACTTTTAGAATAAGAAGATCCTTTTAAGAAGCCTGAAAGGAAAGAGTTGCCTGCAACCCTTTCCCCAACACTCCAAGCAGTACAGTGTGGCTAGACAACCCCTCCCACTTGGGGGACATAAAAAGAAGTAAGTCCCGACCTTAGGCATGCAATCCAGCACTGAGCTCACCACGGTGGAAACCAGTACCGAGCAGCACTCCAAATCACCTTCCCAGTGGACCAGTACTAGCCAACCGACAGAGCCTGCTCTTCCACTCCCCCCTCAAACCCTGGAAGTGCTGCCTAGAAAAAGATTCCACCTGATGGGGAATGAAGCTGGAAGGTGAGCGCAGTACTCGACAGTGAAGAGCAAAGATAATTGCAACGGCCTTACAAAAAAGGAAGCTAAGCCGCTGCAACGACAGTTCGGACTCTGGAGATTAACCAGGAAACAAGGACTTCAGCCATAGCAAGTAAGCTGGAGGTTCCTGCTATCCCTATTCACAGCACAAACAAACGCCTGAGCTATTCACCACTGCAAGACCCTTTCAGCCTTTTACAGGGCCGAGCCCAGTTTACAGGGCTGCTGAATTTTCACATCATCAAATTGCCCCCAGAAAAAGAGCTCAACCCACGCTGAGACCATCTTCATGCAGGTTCTTGCCGCGTGAAGCCAATTTGAGGCCTCACCCACCCCGTAACCTGTGAGGCAGCATGGTGGCAGCCCCCCAGAGCTCCAGAAACCCAGCCCTGTAAACCAGTTAGGTGGCCCTGCCTACTTTTCTATCACCCCAGGAAGAATGTGACCAGCCAACATTCAGCAGCTTATCCTTTAGAGATCCCCAGAAGAGTCAGGAGGACCCACTCTTCTACTGCTCCAGGAGGAGCCAGCGGGCCCAGCCTACAGGACATACACTTGGCTGCATAACACAGCTACCCTGAGCAACTCAAGCCAGAGAAGATAAGCTGTCCTGCCCACCTACCCATGGCCCTAGGGAGGCTGGCTTTCTGAGTGATGTGGCCCACTGAGCACGAAAACTGCCAACCTGCCCACTCACCCTCCTGTGGCCCCAGGAAGCTGTTGAATAGCTCATTCTCAGAAACCTAGCCCTGTGCACATTCCCAGCCCCAGAAAGAAGCTTGGCAGACCTCCCTGAATGTCCCATGAAGCTGTATGCAGAAGTCAGACACTGAGAGGTGCCCTATCCGGACACTAGTATAGCATAGCTCCCTGTGGCCCTCGGTCAATGACATCCCTCACCAAGCATGCTCCTGAATCATAGCCACCTGGGCTTACTAAAAACATAAGAGACAGGGGCTGAGGATTTAGCTCAGTGGCATAAGCACCTGCCTTGCAAGCAGGCAGTTGTGAGTTCGATCCCTGGTATCGATAAAAAGGAAAAGGACAAAAAAAAAAAAAATAAGAGACAAAGATCACTATATAAAACAGTGATCCATATACATATATAGAAAGATACATGAATATCCAATGTGATATATCCATATGTAGATATATATGCTCTAATGAATATATACATATGTATATAGTATATATTCATTCCAATACTGGTATAACCAATAGGTAAATTCTAGTCCAATAATAGGAGCTTCAATACTCCACTTTCATCAATGAATAGGTCATCCAGACTACTCCAACAAATGACTAACAAAGAAACATTGGAATTAGTTATACGACAGATCAAATAAGACCTTACATATATTTATAGAACATTTAACCCAACAGATATAAAATTCTTCTCACCAGCATATAGAAAATTCTCCATAGACCACATATTATGCCACATAAGTCTCAGCAAAAAAATTTGGCTTTTTGAGACAAAAGTCTTGCAAGGTACAAGCAAAGTCTTGAACTCATTTTGTAGCCCAAGCTGGTCTCAAACTTGTATCAATCCTCCTGCCTCAGTTGCCCAAGTGCTGGGATTATAGGCTTGCACTACCAAATCCAGTTTAGCATATTAAAAAAAGAAATCAAAGCATGTATATTCACTGATCACAATAAAATAAAGCTAGAAAATAAGAGATTTTACTACACACCTATCAGAATTGCTAACGTGAAAATAGTAACACAAGAGGCTGGCAAGGAGTAGAGAAACTGGTTCAATCATATGCTGCTGACAGAAATGTAAAAGGGAACATCTACTCTAAAATATTCAGCCTGTTCCTTAAAGTAGGCATGAAACTACCAAATGGTCTGTTAATCATGTGCTTAGGCATTTATCCCAGAGAAATAACTTATGCTCACCCATTATACACACAAATGTTTACAGCAAGTAGATTCATAATATCCAGAAACAGTCCAGTTGTTCAAAAGGTAAGTGATTAAACAAACTTTGCTATATCCATACAATAACAAATAATCTACTGACACATGCTGCCATAAATAAAAGGTTGGGACAACAAGCAAGTTTTTTATAAATTTAAGATGAAAGGGAATGAGGATATAGCTCCGTGGTACAAAACTTCTCTAGCATGTGCCAGGCCTTCCTCCCAGTTAGGGTGGTGTGGTTTGAAAACAATCAGAACTAATAGATACATTAAAGACAGAAAAAAAGGATCACGCATGAATACAGTTGGTATCCATGGAAAGAAAGGATTCAAAGATGATAGTACTAAACCTTACTCAGAAAGATAAATTTACAGATCTGAAATGCACAGTGTTTCAAGAGAAAATGATACAGAATTATCAACTATATTTTAAGTGTAGAGAATGAATTTTTCACACTAACTGTCTTGGTTACTTTTTCTCATTGTTGAAACAAAATATCTGATGCCCACAGTGAAGCAAGAAAGGGTTTATTTAGCTTACAGTTTTAGAGGTTTCAGTCCATACTCAGCTGGCTCCAAGGCGGGGTGGAATAGCTGAAGGGCAGCCCTTTCGTGGTGACTGCAAGCAACGAGAGCAAAAGGACAAAAAAGGAAACACACCTCCTTCCGGCTCCCCACCCCTGAGTGCTGCACCCACTCACACCACTAATTCCAGCACTAGACAATGAACCAATAACAAATGCTAGATTCAGCCGCTTCCATGACTGCATGAGGCCCGGGCGCCATCTGAACATAAACCATGACACTAGCAAAACCTAAAAAAGTAAATGCACATTGCGTGTCAGAGAGTTCAAGAAATCAAACTGGCCACTGATCTTTCCACATAGCAACACAAAACGCCAGAAAGATCAGTGTGGTACATATGACATGAAAAGGCAAAGAAAACATGGCCTAAAGTTGTCTCTTAAATGAATTCACAGAATTTAACTCCTATAAGCTATTTGTGGAAAAGTTTATTAATAAAATCCAGCTAACCAAAGATAAAACAAAACACACCTCACATATTGATGAGCATTTAATCCATTTAAATATAGAACTATAAACAAAGTCTACACAGTTTTAGGACAGAACATAAGGTCTAAAATTTGACATCTAAAATTTGACATTAAAAACAACATGGGACAAAGAATTAAGCATGTTAATTTCTATAGTTGGCATAGCAACAAATATTCAATATGTATAAAGTAGAGAGGGAGTTTGAGGACTGTCCCAGCTTCCTAATGTTTTTCTTTTTCAATTTTAGAGAAAACTTTAAAAAGTTTTGTGGTGGAAAATTAGTACCACTTTAATATTTTTTCTAAGATCAAATAAAATTAAATTCAAATAATACCTAATGCCTCCAGTATGGGATTCTTATCAAACTGCTTGTCTTTATATTCATTTTTACATCTATACATATATACAAAGAACAGAAAGATGGTCACCATCAATGTTAATAATGATCAGCTCTAGCTGGATGGTAGGTATTTTTATTTTCTTAGTGGCATGTTTTACTGGTTAGCTTGAATTCTTTATAAGAAGCATCTATCATTTTTATAAAATAAACCATATTATTAAATCCCACAAATTTTTAAATACATAAAGAAAGGAATTTTGTATCTTAAAAGAATAATTCTTAAGCTCTTACTGAATTTGTGAAACAGAACAGTTACAGCAAGAAACAAAGTTGATACCCAAACACTGTATTATGGGATCACTCTTCCCCAAGTGAAAGTCTGCTTTTAAAACAATTGCTAAGAGCACAAACTTTTAAACCTTCCTAGCAACCATCAATACAGTATTAAAAACACAGTTTATTTAAATTGTTACTCTTCATAATTCATTGAATTTTACCTCAGGTTACTATCTTCACTCTACTACCTTCCTGGGCACATTAAGTGTTAACATAAAATTTCATTAAATAAATTAAATGAGGATTAAAAGTACAGCTAAAACAGAGCCTTAATCTGTGTAAAGGGATTTTTTTTCTACTTCATGGACCACTCAAGAGCCTCTGACTCGTTTTCATTTTGGAAAGACAAAGCCTGTCCTCGAAGCTCTCCCCACTGCCACTTGGCACTGCATTATCGGCTTGAGCTGATCCAGTGATACCTGTCCATACGGTGCCCAGCGGCAGGCCGGTAGCACTTGGGGTTCCTACGCGCAGCCTGAGAAGCAGTTCGGTTTGCTGGGACTCCTACACGGCCGTCGGCCACACTCTTTCGGCGGGGGAAGTGGGGCCAGGATGGGTAGGGCTGTTTCTGAATTTCAGCCTAGAGGAGATGGAAATGAAAGAGATAATCATCTTTGGAAATTCTGTCAGAATTGAATATACTTTAAGCTTAAATACAATCACTTCATACATTTTAACAAAACAAATTCCTTAATCCAACTAAAAATTTTTAAAACACACACATTCAAATTTGTTCATATTCTAGAAATCTCCACCACCCCATCCCTCCCGATCCAGCCACCACAATCCAAAATTACCTAATCATGGTTCCCTGGGCCACGACCCAGAAAAATCTCTGTAAACATTCCAGATAGTTTGATACAGATGTTTTACAGATCACACATTAAGGAGATTCTGTCATAAAAGAACTTTGTTGACTAAATCCCTGACCCCTAGAGAAGAAATCTAAGTCTAAAAATAAGGGCAAATATTTTACTACATAGACTTAAGCTGCTATTAAATAAAATTACATAGAAACTATTATATATATTTATATACATACATACATATAGTTTAGAAAACTACAAAGGAAACAATTGCCAGTAATATAACATGCATTAAAATACTCTGACCTATTAGGACTTTAAAGACTGGGTAAGGAAGAAAAAATCCGTAAAGCATTAAGTATCTAAAACATTTCAGCAAGTGGAGCTTTTCTGAATATTTGATATTAATATATTTATATTTTATATATACCATTTTTATCTCTTAAATGATGATAGTCAATCTTACAAAAAATGATAAAACAGACATTTAAATGGAGCTAGTGAGACTACAAAAATATTTGGTCACATATCAAAAACGAATAAAATGTGCAAAACTCATTCGATGTCTGTGTATCAAACTTCAAGAAATAATTGTATAGCAATGTCTGAACTTTAAGTCAGTGATTTTTTTAAAATAAAATAACTGTGGGAACAACTAAAATGTCAATAATACTAAATTATAAAGGAGTCAACTGACCATTAAAATGTTAAAATTTTTAACTAATTTGACATTTTAATATATAAATACTTAAAAGATACAAATATACAAAGTATTAACAGAGATTCTAAATCAGTGATTTTCAAACTGTGGGTCATGAAATCACTTTGAGTGTAGTTGAAAGTTCTGGAGCATGCTTCTATGAAACTCACTTGTATAAATATGCATATCCTTCAATAGGTTATAATTTTTTTAAAGTCTCCAAGAAAAACCACTTCAGTGGCAAGATTATGTAGTCTTTTGCTCTTTTCTGAATATTCCAAAATTTCTATAAATGACATGCAATTTTTTATTGGTAAAAATGAAAATTTAAAAATTTAAAAACTCAGAATTTCAGTGGAAGGAAGCCTGTTTTCAAATATTATATGAAGAAAAAGGAAAACAAAATCATAGATTCTAAGAATTCAGCCATGGAAATATAATATTTAGGAGTTGGAGGCACAGAAAAATTTTTGCCAAAATACTAACATTGTAGGGTATTTTTTTTTCAGTACCAGGGACCAAACTCATGACCATATGCCTGCCAGGTGGGCGCTTATGCCACTGAGTATTTACTTGTATATTCATTCTTTCCACGTTTTGTTTGTTTACACTAGGCAAACCTCTTTTAGACTTCAAACAGAAGAAGAAACTACAGGAACTGGAGCACACCGGACCTGATAGACGCTCTTGGGATTGCTGACTTTAGGGATGATCCGATACGCCACGCTCCCACTCTCTTCATCAGAGGACACGTCAGAGGAGTCGTCTAGGGAAGCTCTACTAGCAGCAAAACTTATTTGCTGAGTTAATTCCCATTCCTCCCATCTGCCTTTAAAAGAAGCAACCAGAAATGGATGTTTCTTTTCACCATACCTAAACAGGAAAAGAAACTGTTCATTATAGAAATTCAACTTTCCACAAATTCTATCTCTAAACATCTCTGGAGACAACTTTTTTTGGTTTTGTTTTTGTCTTTTTGAGACACAGTTACACTATGCAATTCAGGTTGGTCTTGAACTCACTCTGTAACCCAGGCTGGCCTTGACTGGAAATGGTCCCCCTGCCTCAGCCTCCCGAGTGCTGGAATTAAAGACATGAGCCACCACACTCAGTTTCACAACTAACTTTCAAAAGTTATTTTTAAATGGATGGAGCTAAATGAACAAAGTGAAGGATATGATGACCTTTAGCTATTATACTGTAAAGCTATCTTGGTTAATTGCTCAAGAAAATGACAAAGACCAGCTTCTTTCAGCTCAACAAAGGACTAAATTGCCCTCCCTGTATGTAAGTCTTGCTCTTTCCTGATGCAGAAGGTCCAAGTCTACAATTTGGAAAAAAAAGAAAAAAAAAGAAAAAAAAATCACACTGCAAGTATTCTGCAAAGGGTTTGCACTGCCCACCCCATCGCCCCATGAAAATAGAAGTTTGCATCTAAAACCTTAACAAGGCAGTAGAAGTGCTCTCACTACTCCAGGAACATCATCTTTAACAAAGGTAGAGACCTGGCTAAAATAAACTTGTTTCCAGGGCTCACAGAGCACACAAACCAGGAGAATACTCACCTGCAGCACACTTGAAAGGGATCCACCCATATGGTCATCTCTCTTGGAAGTCCCAGGTGACAATAATTCACTTTACTCTCAGCACAAGCCCTTTTCAGAATGGGGTCATTATTCTGATTGTTTATTCGGATACACCTTGAGGAAAGGGCAGGAAAGGGAAGGTAAGTGGCATGAGAGCAGGCACTCTGGCAAGAAAAAGAATCACACTGCGGGTGCCCTGCTCATACACACAGCTCCCACCGTCCCCTCCCCAGCCTCCACCGCTGCAGACAGGAGTAAAACACCAAGTTCCCACTCCGCGACTCTCAGTGGTGAAGCACTAAATCACGTGGCTGCTCACTGGCTATCCCTGGGTCTCTTTCACAGTAAACACACGTTAGAAATTGGACAATCGACCTTGTACACTGGAGCTCACTCTGCAGTATTCATCGTGCTGCCAGCTACCACATCTTTCTTTCAAGCCCATGTTCAAACAAATCAATGAGTTCATAGAACATTCACAACTTGTCGACAAGCAACTCGTCTGGTTTTCCTGACAGGGGAACTTCCCCACATCACACACCAGTACTCACCTGAAGGCCTGCCCTTTCGAAGGGCAACTGGGGTGCCAGTGGCCTCGGTATGTTTCAAATAAGATTTTCATTAGCTTGTCTGCAAAGTCTTCTATTTGCCGTGTGTTCAGCTTTTCGTGTTTTTTCACCAGTCTTGTGACAAAGAAAACTGTAGCTGCAATTTCATCTCTCATGATTCAACAACAATCTATTACGAGTCCTGAAACAATGTGACTTGTTATCAGTACATGACTGCCATTTGGAAATGTTACATCCCCAAAGTGTTAAAAATAATTTTCTAGAAAAAAAAAAAACCTTGGTGAACTCATAAGCAGATCAACATTCACCAATCAGCAAAACAGCTAATATCAAATTCAACTTTGTTTTACACTTGTTCAAAGGAAAAATCTTTAAAACACTTAAACAACCGAAATATTATATAAAATATTAATTTTAAAACACCAACTTAATAAAAGTTAACAAAATATTATTTCACAGTATTATGAAATATTAAGTTTAAAAAGACCCTAATATAGGACGGTAAATGACATGAAGTGCCACTTAAAAAAAATATTTACAAATTGTAAAACTTTCCAAGAGACAGCAGCTTTAAAATGTGGCTTACGAAGTTCAACACTTTAAGATTAGTCAAGCAAATATTAAACTTACCAGCAAAAATCTGCCTAGCCCCAACAAAAAGTGGGCCAGAGTTAAAAGACCACAGCACTGATACAACTCTCACTCACACCCACCTTCTGAGTAGCAGGTTGCTGTGTTTATAAGCTTGGGCCTAAAAATCTGATTGGTAACTCACCTTACACAGGTGCCCTCTGTTAAGATGATCATTTTGCTTTTTCCATCGGATTGTGACTTAGCAAATGCAGAGTAAGTCATTTAAAGTGCTTAAAGATTTTCATGCTGGATTGTACTGTCTATTTTGCTATTAAAATCAAATTTTTATGACAAAGGGTAAGAATAAACCACTCTCCCTCTGATCCTAATATCCTAATTTCAGCTCTAATTCGATCGACATATTAAAGAATTTTGTCATGGATCTTTTATAAAACTAAAGAGAACTGTCTTTGAGCAGTCGTTATGTTAACTGCACACATTTTTACTAAAACGTTTATTTGTAGAATAAACGAGAGATCTTAATCTCTTTAGTTCTCAAAGGATAAGTCAATAACTGCCTGCTTTGGGATCACTAGGTTGCTTATAAAAATGCAGCTTCTTGAACTTTATCCTAGACTTGCTGGAAAAACTCTAATAGGCAAAACATTGGAGTCAGCCTTTAACAAGTTCCCCAGATGTACCCAGACCTACTAAAAAGTTTTAAGAATCACTACACCTGATATACAACAATCTTTAACACCTATGATTAGTGGTCACTCTTATGTCCTCATAAATAATTCACCTTACAAGGAAACCACTTTATTCCTGAAATGCTCCAAACATAGTACCAATCAGGTCTTCCTATCTCCACAGAGCCAAGTTTACTGCTTTGATTTTCTGCATACTCAGCCTGGTTTTTACTTCTAGAACTACAGATTATATCTATTCCTCCACTTTATGATGATGTTTCAAATGCTAGCTACTCAGCCTCCCACGTCTTCTCTCTCTTCTGTAGACAGATGAGGTATGGATGAGCTTCAGGTATATCTTTAAGACTCCAGCACCAGACTTGCATGTAAGGCCCAAGAGTGCCCACCACTGAGGACTAGCATAGGGATCTGGCACCTCCCTTTCTCTGCATGTTGTATTCCAGGGCGGCCTCGGGGGCCTTCAGCTCACATCACACCACTCTCACACTGGGCTTCAAGTACCATTGTTCTCACTGATGCCGCTGTTTTGTCACATCGTTCCCTTCCTGCACACTACAACTTTCAAGAACCTGGGCTCTGGCTGCAGATGGACGTGATGGAAGTTGCAGCTTTACAGCTCACTGTCTGTTTCATCTTCCACAACCTGCTGAATCGCCCTCTTAGAAACGTCCCGTCTCTGGCTTACAGTGAGAGGTACAACAGCGACCTCATAGGGTTGCTATCAAGATTACAACAGATTATTAAAGTACCTGGTTTTTATTTGTACAGCAAGGCAATACTGCAGGGTAGTTAAAATTCAACTATAAAATCTCCATTATAGGAACAAATCCTAGTCTTCTAGCTTGCTATAGACTTAGGGAAGTTTTCCAACCTCTCTAATCCTCAAGAGCTGCATTTGAAAAAGCAGGACATGATCCATGTTCGCTAAGGGTTTGGAGCTAACTGTTCTCTTGGATCCCAGCTTAATCTACTGTGCGACCTTAGCAAGTTATTTAACCTCTGTCCCTCAGTCTCCTCATGTAGATAAGGATTGTGACAACAATGCCTACATTGTAGGGATATTGCAACAATTAAGTGTAAAGTGCCCAAAACGGAATCTGGTACTCAGTAAGTGCACTGTAGATGTTAGATGTTATTCCAACAGCTACTACTAACTACTGGCTTGTGAAGGTCTCATCAGACTAAATTATAAAATTATATAAAGCACTTAATACAGTTGTGGGATAAGAGTTTCAAGTGTCCTTTCTCATTAGCAAACAAATACAGAATTTATGTATCTCCTATTATTATGTCATTTCTTTTTGTCTTTTTTGTCTTTTTCGTTTCTAACGTTATGTGATTTAAATGAAGTATAAAACACCCACATTCTTGTGGGAGACTTACGGGAAAATTAAGTTCTAACAGGCCTCTTCTGTGAGCACTAGAGAGAAAGGCAATGTCATTGTATGCTGACACATTCAGGGAAAATTAATACGCTGAGACCCTGTTGTTTACTTGGATATGTACCATGGATGAGGGGAGACAGATGAATCCTGTTTTACTGTGATTGCAGGTGCCCATGTCTGGGTGAATTAAGCCAAGGTGCACCAATCGCCTTGTCAAAGGGAAACAAGAGCCCCTTGACTCCACACTTTTAACCTATTCTGTGTTGCCCCTTGGTCAGGTATGAGCGCATAGGTTGGCTCCTGACACATACTGGGGCTCTACCTATCATATTTCATTATGTTAATTTTTTTTTCTTTTTGCAGTGTGGGGACTGAAGCTAAGGACTTATGCATTTTAGGCAAGCACTCTAACATGAGCTCCATCCTCAGCCTGCTGCACTAAAGTTAGATCATTGCTACAGTAAGTCAAGACTTGCGATCCCGATTCTATCATTTGATAAGCTATCTTTTTGATTCCCGTCATCTTTATATTTGGTAAGAATATGAGCCCTACCTGTGCCCTCCAACAAGCAGTGAAGAAATAAGTTGCAGAGAATAAATATCAAACCAAGTGCTGTGATAGAATTTTAGCAGTTCTCTTCAGATTAGTATTCCTTCCATTTTGTACAATTAATTCTCCTATCATATTTTGGAAAGCTAGTCAACAGTGAAGATTTCACCAGTCATCCTGCAAAATCTCTAGGCAGTACAGTATTCCTTTGATATACCCTATCACGAAAGAAGGAGGCAGTTTAAACTGACATTCCTTGTTCCTTAGGAGTTTCTGCTGGTCCAAGCACCCCAACTTCCACAGTATTCAGAAACTGGTAGAATATTTAAGAATTTTGCCTCATTTGAGGCCAACATTATAGGTCTATAAGCACCTATTCCCTTTTTAAAATAAACATGATACTATGTAACTGTATCTAATCTTTCACTTTATTTTAGTAGAACATCATTGATAAAATAATGCAGTATCACTATTCACCTAACTTGATCAAGAGGTGGACTTAAAAAGAAAATATGACAAGGTTTCTAATTGAATGCAGTGGAATGAATTAATATCTACCATATGAATTTCCTCAGGTTTCTGTAAGACCACACCTTGATCTTAAAAAGTTACTAAAACAAAAAGTTGCTTAAGAATATTAAATTTGAAAAATGCATAGTTTTGATCTATGAACAGGTCAAAATTTATACATAGAATAATATACGAATCTGGTATTTATAGCCATTATTATTCTAATGTTTATCAATAAGCTTCATATTCTAAGAGTAGAAATTAAAACCACTTTTGTTTCAGAAAACTAGTATCAGTCAAAATTCACATATTAATCTAGTAAAACTACCACTACGCCTACAGACAGCACTGATTGATTTCATAGATTTCAAACTCAGTGTTCACACTTAGAGTCCGAACCCGGTAAATTTTGTGTTCCTCACTATAATCTGTTTCCATAAAACAAAGTCAGGAAGCATCAGTTGTATGTCCACTTCTTCTACAATCATGAGCAAATTAGTTCATCTGCTCCTTGGTTTAGTAACTGTCTCAATTTAGCTATTCTGACTTCTTCAGGAAAAGTAAAGGTACAATAAGATATCTAACGTGAAATGCATAACATGAAGATATATAAAATCAGTTTTACTCAGGACGTTAAAATGAATAGAAAACCAAAATGTTAATCATTAGAATCTACTGTTTCAATCTACTAACAAGATGAAAATAATACCTAGTGGCAACCATACATACAAAACACACTCTCAAATGAAGAAATACAAACAGCAAGTAAATACATGGAAAAATGTTTATCAACATTGGTCATTTGAGACATGCAAATTAATACAACACTGAGATTCAACCTCACCCCAGAAAGAACAGCTGTCATCAAAAAATCATCTCGTAACAAATGATGGCAGGGTTGTGGGGATAAAGAACCGTTCTTCACTGCTGGTTGGGGTGTAGACTGGTGTAACCACTGTGGATGTCAGTGTGGTGATTCCTCATAAAACTAGGATTAGATGTCCCATTTCCTCACCTATTTCCTGTCTAGATATTTTTCCAGAAGAATTAAAAACATCATACCACAGCGATATATGTGCACCCAAGTTTACAGCATCATAATTGTAATAGCTATATCTTGGAAACAACTCAAAATCCCATCAACCAAGGAATGGATTAAAAAGATGTGGTATTTTTGTATAACAGAGTACTATAAAGAAGGATAAATGAGACTTTTATAGGTAAATGAATGCAGCTAGAGAGCATACTCATAAGTGAAATAAATCACACTTGCACATGTAAACATCATTTTGTCTCCCTAATGTTAAGAAACTGAAAGAGTAAATAAGATCCAAAAGATGCAATAGATATTGTGAAAGGGAAAGAAACTGCTCCAAAGCAAAGAATAACTGGGATAGGGGAAAGCAGGAAGGGAAAAAACAGGAATATATACAAGATAGCTAAGGTAACTGTG